CAAATCAAATCCAAAAAATCATTGCCAAGACTGATGCCAAGGAGCTTATCCCCTATGTCTTCTTCTACGAGTTTTACAGTTTCAGGTCTCATTCAATTCTGCAATCCATCTTGAGTTAATTTTTGTTTGTAGTGTAAGATAGTGGTCGTTTTCCCAACACTATTTACTGAAGAAGCTATTCTTTCCCCGTTGTGTGTTCTTGGCACCTTGTCGAAGACTAGGAAACCAAATATACTTGGGTTTATTTATGGGCTCTCTGATCTGTGTTATTGGCCTATATGTCTTTTTTGGTTGCCGTATAATGTTTGGAGTCATTTTTGGTTATCACAACTTGGAATCTTGTCACAATTTGGTCACTACTTGGAATCTAGTGGGTAGAGGCCAGGAATGTAGCTAAATATCCTACAATGCACAGGAAAGCCCTTCACGACAAAGAATAATCCAGCCCCAAATGACAACAGCATCAAGGGTGAGAAACTCTGTCCTAGTCCGAACCACCAAAATCTCTTACTTGAAATACTGCACTATTCAACTAACTGGGTTTCCTGCTTCTACTTTTACCTTTATACAATCTCTTCCCCACAAAGCCATGTGATCTTTCAAAAGTACAATTTTTAAAATTGAATTATAGTTGGCATACAATATTACATTGGGGGTAGAGGATATTCAGCCTTTCACCGTTAAGTATGATGTTATTGCTAGGATTTGTACATGGTCTTTTTAGATTCCCTTCTATTCCTAGTTTGTTGAGTTGTTTTTTTTTTTCTTTTTCTTTTGGAACATTGATATGAAGACAGCTACATACTTTCTGAAACTTATGTACACGTTCTATTTGTTTGCTCTCTGTCAAAATGCAAAATTTTAAGATAGAAAAGTAGTGAATGCCATCTCTTAAAGAGACTACCACAACTATGTCAACGCTACCACCCCTCCCCAATCTTTACCATCTGTCCGCCATTTCAGCAATGCAGCATCTTTGTGGGGTGGGGGTGCTGAACTGCAGGAGCAAGCAGGCTTGTATGGGAAGCCCAAGTCAGACAAGGCAAAAACTCGCTGCTCAGCAGCTCCAGCCACTGAGTCAGTCACACCAGTCAGTCCTGTGGATCACTGATTGCGGTCATTTGTACAGCTAATACAGAACCAATGACCTCTAAGTGGATTAGACTCTGTTTGGGGCTCAAAAGATGATTTTTCCTCATCTTGGATGAGCCAAATTTTTTAAAGAACACTAATGAACGTGATGGGTTCATGGTAGTAAGTTTTTCAAATAATGGATATTGAATTTTGCCAAATGCTGTTTTTTTGTTTGTTTGGCATCTGTTGATAGGAACCTGTATCGGTAATTTTGCTTGTGTAGTCTGGTAATATGGTGAGTTACACTAACTGAATTTCAAATGTTGAACCAGTCTTGAATTTCTGGGATAAATGACACTCATTCATAAAAGTATTTTTACATGTTGCTGGATTCAATTTGCTAATATTTTTTGAGGATTTTTGCATCTTTGTTCATGAGGGACATTGATTTGGTTTTCATATATATATATATATATATATGTATATATATATGTATATATATATATATATATATATATTTTTTTTTTTAAATCCAGTTTGGTATCAGGTAATGTTGGCTTCAGAAAATGAGCTGGGAAGTTTTCCTGCCTCTTCTATCTTCTGGAAGAGCTGCTGTAGAATGACTATTATTTTGTCCTTAAATGTTTGATGAAATTCACCAGTGAAACTGCACAGCACTGGAGAATTTTCCTTTTTAAGTTGTAGAACTTTTCAGCTTATCTGTTTCTTCTTGGATGAGTTTTGGTAGTTGTGACAGTGGTCCATTTCATCCAAGGTGTTAAATTTATGAGTATGAGGTTGTTTGTAGAATTCCCTATTGTGCTTTTTAAGTGTTCATCCTCAGTAGTGACATCTTCTCTTAGAGCATGTATGTTATAGAAATGACTTAGTACAATTAAAAACCAAAGTAGAGAAAAAACAAAACTGCAAAAAACATAACTGTACAAACCTCAAGCCTTGTTATTACTGACTCCTTCCTATCTTTCAATTCCATATCCAGTCAGATATTAAGTCCTTTTGATTTGTTCTTGCCTGAAATTTCCCCTATTCCCAATTATGCTTGGCATAACCCTTTACTATCTCCTAAACTATCTAAACTATTCCATCTATCGCCTGAGTCTCACCGCCTTTCCCCACATCCTTCACACTGCTGCCCGACTTCTTAAAGCTCCGATGGTTCTACACTGTGTACAAGAGGAAGGCCCTCCACATCTGGCTTAGTCTTGCCTTTTGCATTGCAGTGCAATTTATTTCTCTAAATCAGGGGGTTTTGACATGCAGGCTTCAGAAAAGAGAAGGTGGGTCATGAATCTCCTAAAAATGGGGTATAAAATGTTGTATGAAGGTGAATTTTATTTCCAGAGTAGGGTCTACAGCCATTATTAGATGTTCAAAGTGCTAAGAGAAGCCTTCAACCTAATCCTGCCTCTATTAACGTATCAAGAACACACTATACAGCCTCAACAGTTTCCACCTCAGCAATCACTCCTTTGTCTGAACTTACATTCACAAACTTTAACAATCTCACCTATCCTTAATATTTTACAGAGGAGGAAACAAGTCTGGCCTTTAACTATTTTGTTCAAAGTTGTCCCCGTAAAACTTATTTTCGGTGCAACTGAGTTAGTGTGTCTCTGTTATTGTCTTGGTCTTTTTATGAATAAATGTTGCATTTCTCCTTGAGGTCAGGAACCTCCGAGTTCTTTGAAACTGCAATTATCTTCACTGTCATAAAAAAAATGACTCTTCACACGTTTGCTGAGAACAGTGATTAACAGTGATAATGGGGCCAGCCGAGTGGCGCGATGGTTAAGAACTGGCTTGGGACACCAGAGGGCCCCGGTTCGGATCCCACATATGAGGGCCAGTGACACTGCCCTCCACAGCTAAGATGCTGAACAACAGCTCAAACTGGAGCTGGGCTGCGGTGAGTCGCCAGCGACGGCATAGGCTGCATCCCCTGTGGCAGTGGGTTGCCATGGGCTACCGTGTGTAGCCAGCAGCCAGCGTGAGCGGCCAGCAGCCGCAGTGAGCGGCCGTCCAGAAGCCGGCGACTGATCTGCCTCGCCCGGGAAGAACGCAATGATGGTGCCAACTTGGGCCAGTGAAGCAACGTCCTCCACAACTAGACTGAAGAACAAAAGGACAACAACTTGTCTGTTCCCCTTCCCCCAAATCCCCAGCACTGTTCCCATACCCCCAATTCCCCAATTAAAAAAAAAAATCTTTAAAAAAAAAACACAAAAAAAACAGTGATAATGATAATGACTCATACTAAGCCGGGGAAGAGGAACGCTTGAGTACTGGACTGGCGGGCGTAGTTTTAAGGAGGCATAAGCACATTTGGGGGTGGTGCATAATATTACCAAGCTCAGAGCTTAGATACCTAATAAAATGAAACACCCACGGGTCTGAGGAGAGCTCTAAGTCACAGGCCAAATGTCCAGTAACAGGGATATTCTAAACCGCATTCAGAAAAGAAATATTCCTCAGAGAAGCAACTAAAGGGGGGAGATGCCCAGGTATTTGGGAAAGAGAAAGGTAGTGGTGGCGGGGGGATAGCAACCAGCCTTGGCAGGAACTTCCAATTTCAACTCTCTCGCATTCAAGCTTGTCCCCTTACGCCAGCGGTTCTCAACCTTCCTAATGCCACGACCCCTTAATACAGTTCCTCATGTGGTGGTGACCCCCAACCATAAAATTATTTTCGTGGCTACTCTATAACTGTAATTTTGCTACTGTTATGAATCATAATGTAAATATCTTTTTGTTTTCCTTTGGTCTTAGGCGACCCCTATGAAAGGGTCGTTCGACCCCCAAAGGGGTCGCAACCCACAGGCTGAGAACCGCTGCTTAGTAAGCAAATGATTGGACTTGCCTGCGCCTCGGTGCTCTCGTTTGTATCTCTACCTAAGGAGTGGTGTCCTGATGAAACAAAATGATGCGTGTACAACGCTCAGGTCAGTGTCTTCCTCTTAAGGCATTCTTTCGTTAATTGTTGCTATTGTTGAATAAGAGAAGCTGGGGGGTGAGGCAGGAGGGGGCGAGGGGGGCTCTGCGCTGAGAAGGCCGTCCATGGTAGAGATTCTCATTAGCAGAGGGAAGGTTCTGGAGCAGCCAGAAACCGTGTGTTTCCCAAAGGGAGCTGGGGGGAGACGCGGCAGTGGGCGCATTCCCACGGGGTGCCCCTGGGGTCGCCTCACAACGGGAGGAAGAGGAAGGGCGTTGAGGCGCGTCCGACGGAGAGCACACCCTCCCCGAGCACCGCGGGCCCTCCCAGGACGGCGTTTTGTGTTCCACTGGGTTTGGTGGCTGAGACGCCCCGGGCACTTTTCTTGTTTGTCGCCATCGGCCTGTGATAACGTTTCCTTATCCGTGTTCTGCTTCAAGTCGCAGAACCTAACCATGACATTGAGGATCTGCCGTACACGTGACACGTCCGCGACCGTTTCAGGTGAAGGAAACGCTTGTGAGAACAGACACATATGTACTTTGGGGCCACCTGGAACGCTGGGAGATTTGAGGAGTGACGGAGCGGCCTGGGAGTGGCTGACATGGGGCTTGGGGGAAGGGTAGAAAGAAAATGCCGGCGCGGCCTCTTTCTAGCCACATCTTAGACTGGGACTGTCACTTACTGGAAGCTGCAGGGGCTCGACAACCCCGGCTAGAGGGTGCTGAGGGACCACGGCGCCCAGTTCCGCGGAGTCCCAGGCCCGACCGCGCGGTGTTGAGGGTCGGGGGACTCACGGCCTCCGGGGGAACTCCGAGCGCGCATGCTCGTCAGCGGCCGGAAATGCCCCGCCCAAGACACAGTGAGGGGCGGAGCCTACACGGCTTTTCCGCTGCGCCGCTGACTTGAACGCCCGTGACTCCGCTCTGCGTTTCCACGTTCATCGCCCAAAACCTCAAACCTTAGGGCCCAGTTTTGTTAACAGAATGGCACCAAATGGCAACGTTTCCCTGTAATCTGTCTGGGATTCCACTTTTATTCTGTAATACATTGTCACCAAATGGCCAAGTTTTCCTGGGATTTGTTTTTTCGTAGATCGGTTTGCCCAGATTTGATACCAGCGCAATATTGACACTTACCGTCCAACAATGTGGTTATTTCTCCATGAATTCAAATCTTCCCTTATTATGCAGGTGAAGCCTTGCAATCTTCTTGCTGTTTTGCACATTTTAGGTTTTTCCTTAGCAGTATTTGTTTCTGTTTTAATTTGCTCTTCCTAAAGGACCCTAGGATAATTTAGTTTTGGGATTTGTTCATCTATCTGGTCATCCGCTGAACCTTTGTGTTCTAATTATTCTCTTGGATTTTGTAAGTAAGAATTCATCTATAAATAACAATTTTGTCTTTCCCCAAGAATCCAGTACAACACCATAATAGTAGCTTCAGTACTACTCTCCAGAAGTTATGTGGAGTGCATCTTACGTTTGGTTCGTGATGTTTTCTGAAGATTCCTGTAGATAACCTTCCTTAAAAATTAAAGGTACTTTGTTCTTTTCTTTGTTTGCTAAGTCTTTTATAGTGTCTTTTTTTAAAAATCAGAAATCTGTATTATTACCAAATACTTTCAGTATTAGTCTTAGAGATGATCATATAGCTTTTCTCCATCACCCTGCAATAATAGAACTACAATAATAAATTTTCTAATGTTGAGATATCCTTATAATCCTGGTATGTAGTCTTCCAATACACTGCTGGATGAAGTTTGCTGTGTATTTAATTCGGGACTTTTGTGTCTGTTCATAAGTGAGATTGGATTGTGGTTTTCTTTAGTTCTCTATATAACTTGTCTAGTTTTGATATCAGTTTATGCTAGGTGTCAAAATGAATCAGGCAGATGAACTTTTTTATATCACCTGGAGTACACATAGCATGTGAATGATCTGTTCCTTAGGTTTTGAAGAATTTATCTTTAAAGCCATCTGGGTGTGGTGACTTTTTAAGAAATAAATCTTTTTCCCCCGAAAAGTATCCATTTCATCTGCAATTTCAAATTTATTAGTACAGAGTTGTCTACACAGTATTATTAACATGTTCTGATCTCATATTGTTCTAATTCATTTTTATATATTCTATTTAAGTCTTATTTTCTTTTTCTTGATCAGATTTATTAAACCAGCTTTTGATTTTATTGATAACCTCTAATGTAGAAGTTTTTTCTCTAATGTATGCCTTTATTAATTTCTTATTATTTCTTTGAGTTTATTTGTTCTTTTTGTACAATCTTGAGCTGGAAACTTATTTTCTTTAAAATGTTTAATATGAAATATTACAAACATGTATAAGGTTACAGAATAATATAATGAACACCTATATACTGACAACCTAACTTTATCACAGTTTAACATTTTTCCACATTTGCTTCAGATTTTAATACTATGTATTCAGTTAGAGCCCCTGTGAATCCCTTCTACTATGCCTCACTCGCCCTCTCTTCTTTCTCAAAGTTAATTCCTCCCCTGGGCATGGTATCTATTATTCCTACGAAAGTTTTTATACATGCTGCATACATATACAGCTATATAAGTAACATATAATATTGTTTTGTATGTTTTTTTTTTTTTAGCTGAGCCATCCTGCCACCTGTGGGCAGCTCAGCGGCAGCTCAGCTCAGGCCGGGACTCAAACTGCTGTTGCTCAGAGCTCGCACTAGCGAGCTCTTAACCAACTGAGCCACTCAACTGGCCCCCTGTTTTGTATGTTTTTAAACCTCATAAATGATACCAATGTGTAACTTGCTTTTATCACCCCAAATTATGTTTGTGAAAGTATCCATGTTGATTCATGTAGTTCTAGCTTTTTCATCATACCTGCTGAATAGAATTCCACTGTATGACTATAAAGCAATTTATCCGTTCTCCTGTTCCTAGTAATTTAGTAATTTAACAATGTCTCATTTTTGCCATTACAACATGGGCTAATGGGTATTCTTGTACAATATCATATTCGGTACAGGCAAGAATTTTTAGGCAGATATCTACAAATGAAATTGCAAGGTGGAAGAGTTTGCACAATTCAACTTTGATATTGCAAAATTGTTCTCCGGTGCTTGTACCAGCTTACTTTTACACCAGCAGTGTAGGAGAATTTCTGTTGCTCCACATCCATGCCTTCTCTTATTTGTTTTTCCCAGTTATTTTGCTTTTATAAACAATGCTCATAGTAAACTCTTGTGTGTGTCTCCTGGTACACATGTACAGAGTATCTCTAAATATATACTTAGTAATGGAGTTATTAGCTGTGTTTTATTTTAGATATGTATTTAATAAACATATATGTGTGCCTCCACATTAAAAATATTTCCTCTTTTAATATAATTTAACTCATTCATAATTATGTGTTTAGATTTAATTCTAACTTGTTTTTTTATGTATCATGCTTCCTGTTCTTTTTTGTATTTGGTTCGATAAAGTTTCTTTTTCCAGGTTTTTTTTCCTCTAGTGATTTGAAAATTATACCTTCAATTTTTATTCTAGTGGTTACTATTATTATATTTTAACCCACTTAAATTTATATTGTTATATAAACATGTAGAATTAATCAGTACCCATATGAAGCAGTCTTGCACAGCGGTTAAGAGTGGACCCTCTGAAGCCAGGCTGCCTGGATTCAAATTCTGGCTTTACTACTTATTAGCTATGTAACCTAAATCTTATTGCATAACCCCTCTGTGCCTGAGTTGCTTCATCTGTAAAATGGGGATAAAATAGCATATAACTCATAAGATTGTTGTGAGGATTAGTGCATTAAGACATAGTGTGTAAACTTCTTAGGACAATGCTTAGCTCATGGCACATAGATCTCTCTAATAACCAGGTTTTTGGTTTTTTTTAATCCATGAAATGGTCATAAGACCTGCCTAGCAGATTTGTTATAAAGGTTCAGTGCATTATTGCATATATACAGTTCAGCTTAATACACTGAGGACCTTTTATGCATTTGAACGACACACAGTTTTTGGCTTTGAGGAATTTATGATCTAGTAAGGGCTCAGGCATGTAAACGTAGTTGCAGTGTGATGTAACCTTAATACTCTTCCCATGTCCTCTCTTGTTCTCTTTTTACCTGTGCTCCACACAGAGCAATTTTTTAGAGCATATTAATCAGAGCACACATTCCCCTGCCAAAAGCATGTCAGCTTCCATCACGTTACATAAACCACAAACGCCTTGCGTGACTTCAGCACGAGATTCTGGGCCTCGCCTTCTTTTCTAGACTCATTAAGTGCCACTTTCCCCGCTTCTAATGGACTCTCACTACACAGGCCTCTTTTCATTTCCTAAACCAACACTTTTACCATCAGGTGCCACTTCATGACCAGGATGCGTTATGCATCATGAGGCGATTTTGTCAAACATCATAGAGGGCACTTAGACAAACCTAGATGGTCTAGCCTACTACGCTCCTAGGCTATATGGATAGACTATTGCTCCTGGGCTACAAGCCTGTACAGTGTGTTACTGTACAAAACAACACGAGATTAATTCAAGCACAAGAGAGTATGATGCAATCAAGAGATGTGGTAAACACAAGGTGTATGATCATGGCTGCCGTCGGTGTAACCTGCCAAACTGTTTTAAACTTTTTTTTATAAGTAGAAAAGTATGCTCTAAAATAACAATTAAAAGTATAGTATAGTAAATACATGAACCAGTAACACAGTTGTTTATTATCACTATGAAGTATTGTGTATTGGATGTAATTGTACGTGCTATCCTTTTATATGACTCAGCGCAGTAGGTTTGTTTACACCAGCATCACCACAAACACGTGAGTAATGTGTTGCACTATGACTTTATGATGTCATTAGGTGACAGGAATTTTTCAGCTCCATTATAATCTTAGGTCACCATTATATATGGGGTCCATGGTTGACTGAGGTGTCGTTATGCGGCACATGACTGTATTTCTCAGTGCCCTCTGTCCAAAATGGCCATTCTACCTGCTGTTCCCATAGCTGACTCATCTTTCAGGTCTCAGCTTGATTCAGTCATGTTCTTAGTTACAAACATCAGAATCCGCTCTGGCTGAGAAAGGGCCTTTGTTAATATGTGTAGCCCACAGAATCTCCAGGGGGACCAGCAGCCAGATATGGATGCAGCACAGCCAGGGCTCTAGTGAAAATCCACCGCATGATGCCCAAACCACAGCTTCTACAAACACAGTCCATGAAAAGAAAGATCGGGGTGCCAGAAGCTGTGCCTCTGGCACCCTCACCCCCCTTCTCCACCAGGTAGCCAGAGTTTAGCATATTTCCTTCTTTCATCTTGCAGATCTTTCTTGCAAAAGAAGTTGAATCTTTCCAACTTCATTTTTCAAAATGAAGTTTTGCATGGCTACGCCTGATTGATGGGGCCTAGGTCACATGCCTGTACTGCAAAGGGGGTCCAGGAGCTGAGTGTTCTCACAGGAAATTCCTCAGATAGAAGGATGTTCAGAAGTTCTGGGCATTCAGAAAACACGTTACATGACACTAATTATTATGTTACCTCAGCATAAAGGCCTTCCCTGATAACCCTAAGTATGCACATATTCTCTCTAGCCTAGCCCTGTTATTCATGGTACTCTGTCATTTTCTTCAAGGCATTTATCACAACGTATATTGTTATATACTTATTTGTTCAAGTGTCTTATAAGTGCTGGAGTCAGATTCTAGTCCTTACATGGAGTTTCATTCAACAAATGTAATTCAAACAGCGAAAAATACTTTTTAAATGCACTTTAGTCTTTAACAGTCTCTTGGAACAAAAAAAGCATCCAAGGGGCTCCAAGTCACAATTCCCAACAGTTCCCATAAATTCATACTCCTTTCTCTCTTCTTTAATTCTCCCCAATCCTCATGTGGATTGGTGTAGCTTTTTTTTTTTCATAAATTTTGTCCCTAGGGCTCTCCCTTGAAACGTTTTCTGCCTATTATTTCGCATCACAAACATTCAGAACTGGTCTGACAGATACATTTTTGGGGACGGAGTGAGAGGAAAAGTCTGTCAGAGGAAACTGGGGACATTTACATCTTGATCATTTTGGTTCCCCACTTTTGGTTGACATCTAGATTATAAAGTTTATGAGGATAGGGACAATATCTGTTCTATTTGCATCCAGCACAAAATCTTACAAGTACGTAGTCAATTAACACTTGTTTTCTGGAAAAAAAAGAGAAAAGTCCAGCAATTGAGATCTAGACAAGGAAGTATACAGCACAGAGCAGGTGCTCTTGGCCTCGTGAGGGTGGTGTGGGGTGTGCAGTGCGTAGGGGTAGTTTGGGAAGGCCTCCTGGAGGAGGTGAGGTGGAATCTCAAAGGACAAGAATTCACCAGGCAAAGGAGAAGGTGAAGGCAGAGAAGAGTATTGCGGTAGAAGTGTAGCATACGCACAGACAAATGGCAGGCAGCTTGGTGTGCTATTGCTAAATGTGAAGGGGGAGAACTGTCAGGAGGTGAGGCTGGAGGGCCTGAGGTGGGCCTGCAAGGCCTTGCACACCAC